ACTTGTATGTCTCATAACAATAAAAATGCTTTCAAATGAGCTGATGTAGGTAACAGCTCTTAGCTTGCCAATAAAGTTAGGAATCCTTAACCTGTAAATAGCTTGTCAATAAAGCTAGGGATCCTTAACCTTGTCAAACCCTGTGTAAAAAAAAAGAGAGAGAGAGAGACAGAGAGACAGAGAGAGAGACAGAGAGAGACAGAGAGACAGAGAGAGACAGAGAGAGAGAGACAGAGAGAGAGACAGAGAGAGAGAGAGACAGAGAGAGAAACAGAGACAGACAGAGACAGAGACAGAGAGAGACAGAGAGAGACAGAGACAGAGAGAGACAGAGACAGAGAGAGACAGAGACAGAGAGAGATAGAGACAGAGAGAGACAGAGACAGAGAGAGACAGAGACAGAGAGACAGAGACAGAGACAGACAGACATACCCCTAATTAATGGGTTTAATGAGGTTTCCTACTGTGGATGACTAGTCGTGGACCAGGTTTGTACTTGCACAACACCAGTCCTGGGCCAGGCTTGTACTCATACAAGACCAGTCCTGAGCCAGACATGTACCTGACACCCCTTCTACATGACTCATTTCTGCCCCACTGATGTTCAAAGATGAATACTGCACACTCTGAGGTCCTCTTCAGCAGATCTCAACAGGACAAACCCCACAATATTTCAAAAATGTTTCATGTGTCTCCATGACAGTTCTGCATACATTAACCAAGTGAATATAACACACTGGTTATCTTACAAGCCTAGATATGAGACTCAACAAGGAGCAACGGAACACGCTTCAGAATCCTTAGAAAAAATGCATTAAAACAAGTTATGTACGCCTACCATCCGACTTACGACCTGCTTGACTTACGACCTGCTCGACTTACGACCTGCTCGACTTACGACCACTCGACTTATGGCCGTGTTTTTTATGCCAAATTTCTGGGAAATAAACAACTATTTGTGTTGTGCACAGTGTTTATCCTAAACTTTACAGTATAAAATACAGTACTAACAACATAAAAAGTAAAGTAAAACATGAAATACCAAAATAAAATAATAAAATAAAGTCTTTACAAAAATGTTTTGTTGATATTCAGTAGTAAAGTTCGACTTACGACTATTTCGACTTACGACCGGTTTCTCGGAACCAAACTCGGTCGTAAGTTGGATGGTAGGTGTACATAAACAATACAGCAAACCTTCTGTATAATGAACCATCATATAATGGACCACCATATAACAAACTTGTGAAATACAAAATCCACAGAGTATATGGTACTTCGTCACTATTATTTTCAATGTTTCTGTTATTATTATTCCGAAGTGCTAAACCAACACATAGGAATGCTTATTGTAGTATATCTATAAATCATATAGTTCTACATTAGGTACGCAGTAGAGTATGGCGTCATCGAAGATATTTTAACATTATTATGATTAATATGAACACTCCGACAGTCACCCCATTGGTCTGTTGTAAAGTGGGTCCACTTGCATTTTTTTTTTTTTTACTAAAAAAGACACGTGAGGATACGCTAGAAACCTTTTGGATCTTTCAATTTTGATAATGTCACTTTTTTGCTCTAAAGACATGCAAGGAAATACAGTGGACCCCCAGTTTACGATCAGCTCCCAATGCGACCAATTATGTAAGTGTATTTATGTACGTGCATTTGTATGTGTATGTTTGGGGTCTGAAATGGACTAATCTAATTCACAATATTCCTTATGGGAACAAATTCGTTCAGTAATGGCACCTGAACATACTTCTAGAATGAAATAATATCGTAAACTGGGGGTCCACTGTACTTGGACATGCAAGACACCATTGCCATCCTCCAATCTCGAGCATATCACACATATCTTTTTAAACCAATCACCTGTGTCCATTACTAATATTTTGACCACTTTTCTTTCAAGTTCGTATTAATTTTGATTTGTTTTTTTTTAAGAGGATGTGGGAGTGAATGCAAGTACATGTAGTTCCAGGGCAGGATTTGGCGTGTTGTCGGAGTGCAAGAAAGACGGGATTAACGCAGGGATTCGGAGGAACACTCTAGCAGAGCGCCTGCACTCTGAGTGGAGCTCATAAGGTTGAAAAGGTCACTTGCACTGCAATGTCTGAGCAAGACAACTATTGACTGAATGATGGTGACCACTATGACATCCAGTACGATATATACATGTACAGTGGAACCTCAAATATCGAACTTTCTTCGGTCCAGAAGGCTGTTCGAGTGCCTTTACCAAATGAATTTATTCCCATCAGAAATAATATAAATTAGATTAGTCCATTTCAGACCCTCAAAAATACACTTATAAAAGCACTTACGAAAATACGCTTACATAATTGGTCGTGTTGGGAGCAGTTCGATTTTTGAGGTTCCACTGTACTACTATAAACACTACAATATATACCACAGTATACAGTATGATACGTATTCAGTAAAAATATTTCTACATGCAACTGAAAGACCCTCATAGTATACAATAATAAATTTTAGACAAAATTTTCCAATCGCATTAAAAAAAAAAGAATCACACTACACAAACCTTATAATAAAGCCAAGAGTAACATAAATTTTCACATGCATAGAATTTCAAGGCATTTTTTACCAGAATTCAGCGGTCGAATTTGCTCTTAATAACCTGCCTAAAAATTGCCTTATTTATACCAAACTAATGAGCGGGTATTTATATATTCCTTTGGGGGGTTAATTACATGCGTAATATCTGGATAATTTTGTGCAGGGGCAAAAATCAGGCGTATGAGAGGTTAATTATTATCGCACCTTAAATTATCCAATCGACCGGCAAACTCGCAACTCAAGGCACAAAGCAATAAGTTAAGAAGAGTACCAGGGCCCAGTCAGTCGCAGCAAATAGTCCGCGCTCCTATAGGCCTCCTCTGCATGGTGTGATTTTTAGCGAGTGTGACTTGAGAAAGTCTGTCCAAAACTGAACGGCGTATGGAAAGGCCTTTGTAGTACATTATATTTAATTTTTGATTTACTTTTTCAATAGTAGTTGCTAAGTATCTCATTATATAGAGAAACTATATAGTGAGGCCTAGCATTGCTAGGTGGTAGTGTATTGTGATCTAGCATTGCTAGGTGGTAGTGTATTGTGATCTAGCATTGCTAGGTGGTAGTGTATTGTGATCTAGCATTGCTAGGTGGTAGTGTATTGTGATCTAGCATTGCTAGGTGGTAGTGTATTGTGATCTAGCATTGCTAGGTGGTAGTGTATTGTGATCTAGCATTGCTAGGTGGTAGTGTATTGTGATCTAGCATTGCTAGGTGGTAGTATATTATGATCTAGCATTGCTAGGTGGTAGTATATTGTAATCTAGCATTGCTAGGTGGTAGTATATTGTGATCTAGCACTGCTAGGTGGTAGTATATTGTGATCTAGCATTGCTAGGTGGTAGTGTATTGTGATCTAGCATTGTTAGATGGCAGTATATTGTGACCTATCACTGCTAGGTAGTAGCATATTGTGACATAGCACTGCTAGGTGGTAGTATATTGTGGCCTATCACTGCTAGGTGGTAGCATATTGTGACCTAGCACTGCTAGGCAGTAGTATATTGTGACCTAGCACTGCTAGGCAGTAGTATATTGTGACCTAGCACTGCTAGGTGGTAGTGTATTGTGACCTAGCATTGTTAGATGGCAGTATATTGTGACCTATCACTGCTAGGAGGATAGAATATTGAGACCAATCACTGCTAGGTGGTAGCATATTGTGACATAGCACTGCTAAGTGGTAGTATATTGTGACCTAGCACTGCTAGGTGGTAGTATATTGTGACCTAGCACTGCTAGGCAGTAGTATATTGTGACCTAGCACTGCTAGGTGGTAGTATATTGTGATCTAGCACTGCTAGGCAGTAGTATATTGTGACCTAGCACTGCTAGGTGGTAGTATATTGTAACATAGCACTGCTAGATAGCAGTATGTGACCAGGCACTGTTCTGTAACAGCAAGTAATAGTGGAAAATCACAACAACGGGGCTGGAAAAATTCATAAAACGCCTGCACTCACGAGAAGAAACAATGTTCCGATCCTGGACCAATGCCAAGGCACTTCAGTCGTAGACCCCTTACCAGCGAGCCAATGAACTTCTTCGCAAGTGCATTTTGTGAATTCTTCCTACTCGATGCAACAAATCTATCAAGAATAACCTTTAAGCGGTGACGCAGTAAGGAAGAAGTAGAGAATTTGTTAAAAAGGGGTCTCACTAATGTAGATTAGTAAGCAAGCTAGCTTCTATTAGTGCATTATGCATCCCCTATATTCGTGGCTATTCACGCAATGCGTTGCTACAAAGACTCATGTAATACTGCGGCTGGAATGATTCGTTATTTATCCATTGTTTGGAACGGTAGCATTTGAAAGTTGTAAGCCATCCTGGGTGATGTTGATTCATGCCTGGCGATGCTCCAGCAGCACCAACCAACTCTTGATTGATGTACAGTAAAGCATTTATTTATTGGACTTCGGCAAGACAATCATCTCTCTTATAAAATTTAATAGCACGGACAACAAAGGATTTTCCAAACAATTCAATTTTGGATGCAATTTTTCTCTCAACTGCATATACAAAAAATTGCATTAGAGGTTCTTGATAACAAAGTTTACCGTACAGGCCATAATCCGATTGGTCAGCTGACTGAGAACTAGTGGATAAAGTCTTCCGCATGCAAAATTTTCCGCTATAGTCACGACCGCAGCAAAACCTCACCTCTATCAGCCACAGTTGCCATTATCACCAATCCGCTGCCGCCCATCAGGTAAATAACGTCAAACGTCAACAAATAAAAATGCCAGTTGCAGAGAGCTCAAAGCTGGGCTTTATCAAATATAATAAAGTATATGTACTTAATCCTCCATGGGGAAGTGGAACAGAATTCTTCCTCCATAAGCCATGCGTGTTGTAAGAGGTGACTAAAGTGCCTGGAGCAAGGGGCTAGTAACCCCTTCTCCTGTATATACTAAATGTAAAAGGAGAAACTTTCGTTTTTCCTTTTGGGCCACCCCGCCTCGGTAGGATACAGCCGGTGTGTTGAAAGAAAGAAGATATGTACTTAATAAAGCCACAACAGAAACACTGTAATAAATGGATTCTCAGCTACCAGCATCTTTATTCTTCTTATTATTATAGCATTAAATTGATGCTTTACTGTACTTAGCATAACACAAAAATGGTAATGAGACAAAAAATTTGCTTTATTGAGCTTCATCAAGACAAAAATTTGCCCAGAACTTTATTGATAAAGTCCTGCTGGATATTCTCTCAATAAAATGCCATAAACCTGTGCGATTGGCCCTCGGGCCACCGACTGCCATTGCCGTGGAGCAAACAGTGGGTACGCAGCGAATGCTTCCCCTCCGAGACGCTAGCTAAAACCTTATTGTCGTGTTCGTTGTACGCTATGCATCGTTTGCTTCCCTACCAGACGAAAATTCATATACGGTCAGTTCTCTTCTAAAACGCCTCCTTAGTGTAATTTTTTTGTAAAACCTTCACAGCCTGTGCTATTCAATTTCCGATGCACTTCAACTGTATTTGTAAAACAATGCACGATTCACAAAATCATAAAAACACGAGTGTAAACAAATCAGGGAACAGGTGGGGTTAGAACTCATGGAATTTGTGTGCTAAAACTCCAAGCCAGTGCATTAACAACTGTACCAGCTGGCTACAATAAGAGTCATCCAACTAGGTACATTTCTACACACCATAGGAAGGTCATCCTGGGCCACCACTGTGACCACAAATGCAAGTTTTTACCAATGAATCCCACACCAACATGGCTGTGTCCCACTCTAGCTCAAGTCCCCTATACAGAGGAGCTTTATAAAACAAATGACTGTATGTAAGTGGTACAAAACACAACTATCCATCTCTCAACTACAATATATCCACACTAGTCAACTCTGTTCCATTAAAATTAAACCACACCTTCGTGATGGCATCAATAGTATTGTCAATTCAACCACACTAACATAAATATACACAGCCTCTCCTCACTTAGCGACGTACTCATTTACCGATGACTCGGACTTACGACGGGCTGTCTGATCAATATGCATACCTAAATAATGTATATTAGAGTTGATTTCCTCTGTTCTGTTTATTACAATATACAGTACACTACTGTATATACATTTAAAAATATACCAGAAATGTTATAAATGGTACAAAGGTGACGTTAAAACAATATCAAAGATGGTTGACACAAACCCACTACCATTATAGTATGTTCCTCACTTAGTGACGAATTCGTTTAACGACGTTGTCTTAGGAACACAACTCCATGAGGAGAGGCTGTATATATATATATATATACACATACATGGTATAAGTGCCACCTTTACCAGCAGAGTTAAGATCCATTCCTCTCATCTACTTCTGGTCAAAGAAGGTCAGGAAAGTTATCATATTAGTACAGTGGACCCCCGGTTAACGATATTTTTTCATTCCAGAAGTATGTTCAGGTGCCAGTATGACCGAATTTGTTCCCATAAGGAATATTGAGAAGTAGATTAGTCCATTTCAGACCCCCAAACATACATGTACAAACGCACTTACATAAATACACTTACATAATTGGTCGCATTGGGAGGTGATCGTTATGTGGGGGTCCACTGTATTATGGGGAGATGCTAAACCCATAGGGGGTTACATGGTGCTTGTTTGACCCTGAGGAAGGGCAGGTCTTTTCCCTTGGATCAAGAGCCCTTTACCAGGACGTTACAGGACTGGAAGTGGGAAGTACAGTACAGTTCCCATCCCTTTATCCAAAACCCTTGGGGGCCAGCAGTGTTTCGAATTTCAGAATGAAGGTCTAGGCCAACAGGCCTACTGCAGTGTTCCTCCTTTATGTTATTATGTACCCATGACACCAATCACACCCAGCTTCTCCCACTCATACATTTGTCCAATCTCTTTGTAAAGCTACCCAAGGTCCTATCGAAGCTAAAACCTTGGGTAGTTTCAAAATAAGGTTGGATAAATACATGAGTGAGAGAGGTTGGATTTGAGTGGGACTTGCATGTGAGTAAATAGAATTATCAAATATGTACAGTTCAGGACATTTATTAGAGGAAACGTTTTGCCACGAGTGGCTTCTTCAGTCCTAATACAGAGAAAACTAAGAAAACGTATATATATAGCGGCAGGAGTCAGGTGAAGTGACGCGTGGGTAGAGGTGGTAGTAGTAGTAGTAGTAGTGGAACTAAGTAGGTGATGCTAGAGAGGGACCTGCTGGCATCATGTAACACCAGTTCCCAGGATGGGTAATATCCTCTTGCTTAGTAATTCTGAAATACTGTAACTACCGGGTTTTTGCTTTATAGTGTTACTGACAGAAATTAGTGCAGCTTCAATCCATTTTCTCCGTTATAAATTGTCTTCTTTAATCACTAATTTAGCTTCATCTTCAACATCTTGTCGGTATCACCACACCATTTCCTCAGAATTATCAAAGCTTATTGCTTGGGTAACGTTTATTCTGCTAGTGGGTCAGATTTGCGAAGGACCTGCCTAGTATGGGCCAACAGGTCTATTCCAGTGTTCCTCCTTTCTTATGAGTGAGAGGGGTTGAATATGAGTGGGACTTGCACATGAGTAAATGGAATTATCAAAGCTTATTGCTTGGGTAGCATTGAAAATTGAGTTGGGCAAATATTGTTAGTGGGATGGATTGTGAAGGACCTGCGTAGAATGGGCCAACAGGCCTGCTGCAGTGTTCCTCCTTTCTTATGTTCTTATGACATACCTGGCGGCATTGGAGTTATGTAGAGATGGCTGACGCTCAACACTCCATGAAAAAACTTCGGTTTTCGGAACTTTTCAAATTTCAGAATTTTGGATAAAAGGATGGGAATTGTAGCTGTACTCTGAAGGATGAGTGAGGATGTTACAGTCAGAGAGTCATCTGAGCTGTCAGCACACTTCTGATAAGACAGCAGTTGAATGAATGATGATGAATGCGTTTTCTTACTAGGGTCACCCAGATCTGGCAGAAGACAGCCATCGAGTTAAAAGAAAAAATATACAATATACAATAAAACTCATTCTGGCACCATCATTAATAAACTCGAAGCCATGAATGATCATACAGCTTCTGGCAGACAGTCATTCATCAGTATTCAGTTTACCTATCAAAAGAGGCAACAACCTCTATTACAATTTAAGAAATGATATGGTATAAACCTTGGTAATAAATACCGACAAGTTGGTTTAGAAAGACACGTAAGCAAACACTGTGACATATTTATTAGAAAACGTTTCAGTCCTGGGACCTTGATCACTTCTAACATACAGAGGTAGAAAGATATTATATATAGGCGTAACTCACACCTCACTCTCTGCCTATAAATGTCTTTCTACCTCTGTATGTTAGATGTGATCAAGGTCCTAGGACTGAAACGTTTTCTAATAAATATGTCATAGTGTTTGCTTATGTGTCTTTCTACACCAAGAAATATAAAAATAATAAAAAGATCTCCATGGAGAAGTGGGTTAGAATCCTTCCTCCATAAGCCATGTGTGCTGTAAGAGGCAACAAGAAGCTAGTAACCCCTTCTCCTGTATGTACGTATTACTAAATTTAAAAAAGATAAGCTTCCGTTTTTTTTTAGGTCACCCTGCCTCGGTGGGATACGTCCGGTGTATTGATATAATAATAATAACCTCTAGCCTCCACTACTAATCAGACTGTCACCCTTGAGCCCCCCCTATAAGTCTTACAGAGTCGCCCTTTACAGGCACCAGAAAACGACTCAAATCGCCATGCTTATGAAACGTGATGCCAGAATGGTTTGGGCAGAGTGTGTGTGTGTGACTGGAATGCTCTCTGTGGGAAATTAAATGCATCCACGAATAGTGCACAGGATGTACAGGTGGTCCTCGACTTAGAACGGGGTTACATTCCGACAAACCCATCGTAAGTTGAAGAATATCGCAAGTTGGAAAATGTTGCAAGTTGGAAAATGTCGTAAGTTAGAAAATGTCGCAAGTTGGAAAATGTTGCATGTTGGAAATTGGCGCAAGTTGGAAAATGTCGTAAGCTGAAAAATATCGCAAGTTAGAAAATGTCGTAAGATGAAAAATATCGCAAGTTGGAAAATGGCGCAAAGTGGAAAATGTTGCAAGTTGAAAAATATCGCAAGTTGAAAAGTATCACAAGTTGGAAAATATCGCAAGTTGGAAAATATCGTAAGATGAGTACAGTGGTACCCCAAGTTTTGTACAGCTCCCAACTTGAACAATTATGTAAGTGTATTTTTGTCAGTGCTTTTGTAAGTGTATTTTTGGGGTCTAAAACGGACTAATCTAATTTACATTATTCCTCATGGGAACAAATTCGTTCGGTAGCGGCACTCGAACAGCCTTCTGGAACGAATTTTGTACAAAACTCGGGGTACCGCTGTATATGATAAATAAATAACTATTGTTACTGAACAAGTAAATAAACAAATAATTACTGTAACTAAACACCAAAAGCACTTCAGTGTTTAGTAAACATAATGGCCTTGCAAAAATTGGATTAAACACAGAAAAAACCTTTGAGAACTACTGGACATGTAACACTATCGCAGAGTTGAAGTATTGCAGGTGAACCGCCGTAAAGTGTGGCACACCTGTATCGTTGTCGCAGGTCGAACTGTCGTAAAGTGAGGGACACCTGTATTATCATCACAGGTCAAACCGTCATAAAGCGAGGCGCACCTGTATCGTCATCACAAGTTGAACCGTAGTAAAGTAAGGTACACCTGTATCACTGCAAGTCAAGCTGTCATAAAGCGAGGCGCACTTGTATCATTGTGGGGAAACACCAAACCCACGGGGCTGCCACAGCTGATAGGGTATGGCAGACACATCAGTTTTGACTCTAGAGAAGAAAGAGCAGTGTCCAAACCCCTTCCTCAAAGGGCATATTATTATAAATTAAACGCTAAACCCACAAGCGTCCTCGAAAGGTAGAGGGAAGGATTGTATCATAACTCTCGACAAAGACAGTCCTGGGGTGTTCGTATTTTTTGTTCGAATGTTTCTTATAATACTCTAAGAGATATTGTCACTATAAATAAAACCCACAATACCATGGCTGGAACAATTCACAACCCACAATACCATGGCTGGAACAATTCACAACCCACAATACCATGGCTGGAACAATTCACAACCCACAATACCATGGCTGGAACAATTCACAACCCACAATACCATGGCTGGAATAATTCACAACCCACAATACCATGGCTGGAACAATTCACAACCCACAATACCATGGCTGGAACAATTCACAACCCACAATACCATGGCTGGAATAATTCACAACCCACAATACCATGGCTGGAACAATTCACAACCCACAATACCATGGCTGGAACAATTCACAACCCACAATACCATGGCTGGAATAATTCACAACCCACAATACCATGGCTGGAACAATTCACAACCCACAATATTGTGGCTGGAACAATTCACAACCCACAATATTGTGACTGGAACAATTCACAACCCACAATACCATGGTTGGAACAATTCACAACCCACAATATAAAGGGAACTTCAAAACCTCCGTCTCATCTTAAAAGCAGCATAAAGTCGTGTAACTGCATTAAGTGGTACCTAGACACTTACTGCAATGCTACTTCGACTTAAGTACATTATGTGTTAAGTTAGTTACTGAGCAACGTAATAGTGGACCAAAATGGTCGAAATATGCAATGTCCTCTTTACAGTATGAATTATAGTAAGCTGTCTTAAAAAGCTATTGTTTAGTGTAATTTTTTGAAAATGGGACTTAAAAGGTCCAATAAAAATTGAATAGCATGTACTATGAAGGCCTTTTCCATGTGCTTTTTAAATTTTGGATGGCCGTTTTCCAATCCCATTGTATACAGTACAAATTTTTTGCAAATGCGACCAAAAAGGTCTATTGCAAATTGAATAGCTTGTACTATGAAGGCCTTTTCCATGTGCTTTTTAATTCTGGGTGGCCTTTTTCCAATCCCATTGTATACAGTGAAATCTTGTTGCAAATGCAACTGAAAAAGTGAATTTAAAATTGAATAACACATAATATGAGGGCCTTCTCACATCCTTTTTAATTCTGGATGGCCTTTTTTCAACCCCATTTACAAAAAATATCACATTATAGAGAAGAGGTTCATAAGACAGCTTATCGTATTTGCGCATAATCTCCAGACATCGACTCTTGTGTCATGCAAAATGTTGCAAACATTACCAGCGCAACAGCAGTCATGACTGTTTAAATTGTTCGACTGAATGATGGTTCCAAGGGCGGCCATCCACTAAACACTTATGCACTGTCGGCAAGTAGTCAATCGGCCCGATCCTTAATGGTGAAGCACTTGATGTGAAAATGCTCGCACATTTGCCGGACCTGCAAGAAGAAGTGTATGAAAATCTCGTGTATTGAAAATTTCTGAAGCGTATAAAAAATCTTGTATGTATATATTAAAAAATTATAAAAGTACAGGTGGTCCTCGACTTGCAATGAGGTTACATTCTGCGAACACATCGTAAGTCAAAAATATCGTAAGCTGAATATGAATACGACTTTTTTTAAACATAACGGCCATTTCCCACCAAGGCAGGTTGACCCAAAAAGAAAGAAAAACCCAAAAAATAAAGAAAAAGAACTTTCATCATCACTCATACATGATCACCGTCTTTGCGGAGGCGCCCAGATACAAGTTTAGAAGTTCCTCCAAACTGCTAATATCCCAAACTCCTCCTTTAAAGTGCAGACATTGTACTTCCCATTTCCAGAACTCAAGTCTGACTAACCAGTTTCCATGAATCCCTTCACTAAATATTGCCCTGCTCACACTCCAACAGCTCGTCAGTTCCCAAGAACCATTCGTCTCCATTCACTCCTATCTAATGTGCTCACACACGCTTGCTGGAAGTCCAAGCTCCTTGCCCACAAAACCTCCTTTACTCTCTCCCTCCAACCTTTCTGGGGCCAACCCCTATCTCGCCTTCCTTCCCCTACCGATTCATATGCTCTCCAAGTCATTCTACTTTGTTCCATTATCTCTAAATGACCAAACCACCTCAACAGCCCTCTGACTAATACTTTTATTAACTCCACACCTCCTCCTACTTTCCACACTACGAATTCTCTTCATAAAATTCACACCACACATTGCCCTTAGACAGGACATCTCCACTGCCTCCAGCTGCCTCCTCGCTGCAGCATTTACAACACAAGCTTCACACCCATATAAGAGTGTTGGTACCACTATACTCTCGTACATTCCCTTCTTTGACTCCAAGGATAACATTTTTTGTCTCCACATATACCTCATGTATCACTCACCTTTTTTTCCTTCATCAATTCTACGGTTAACCTCATCCTTCATAAACCCATCCGCTGACACGTCAACATCCAAATATTTGAAAACATTCACTTCTTCCATACTCCCTCTCTCCAATGTGATATCCAATTTTTCTTTATCTAAATAGTTTGATACCCTCATCATCTTACTCTTATCTATATTCACTTTCAACTTTCTACCTTTACACACCCAGATAAATAAACAGGTCAATAAATAAATAATTACTGTAACTAAATATCAGTATTGAAAGTCAGTAAATGAATACAAGTTAGGGACTTGCAGCCTTCACACTGGGTAACTATCTCAAATTTCATCTCCAAAGTAATTGCTGCCGTACCATCGTGAGTTGAGGACCACCTGTGTGTATAAAAACCTCATATATAAACATTAAAAATTAGTAAATATATTATCAGCCTAATTTCAATGTTTTTTTTTTCTGAGGACAATGTGTATACTAACATATAAACCTTACTAAACAAATCTGAATAAATGTATAGATGGAGGGAGGAGGTTTTGAATGCAAGGTGCTTGGACATCCAACAGGTGTATGTGAGCGTGGTAAGATAGGAGTGAGTGGAGGCAAGTGGATTTTGGGACCTGATGCGCTGTTGGAGTGTGAGCAAGGTAACTTTTACAAAGGGATTCAGGGAAACTGGTTAGCCAGACTTGAGTCCTGGAAGTGGGAAGTACAGTACCTGTACTCTGAAGGATGGGTGTGGATGTCAGAGTTCAGAGGTTCCTCTGAGCTGTGAGGCTGTCACACTTCTGCCAAGACAGTGACTGACTGAATGATGGTTAATGTGTTTCCACTCAACATTAGTAGGAGATGGACAGTGTTTAGAAAAAGTCACTGCTACAAATCCACAGTACACAAAATACACTGGGAAAAGTAGAGATTTACCAGAAGGTACCAAAGTCGTACCAGATTAATTGGAGCTAAAAAGTACTACAAGAGTTTGATTTTAACAATTCACTGAGTACAACTTGGTAAGAACACACACACAAACACATACACAGTCTGGAGAGTGATGTAGTGGAGGGAGGATCCATATATAGTTGTAAGAAGGGGTATAATAAGCTCATGGAGCAGGGAGAGAGTGGACCTAGTAGCTACCAGTGAAGAGGCAGGGCCAGGAGCTGTGACTCAACCCCTGCAACCACAACTAGGTGAGTACACATACATGTACACATACACACACACACACACACACACACACACATACACAAACTACTTTCCCGACACCCTTCCACACTTCTTCTCCTTCTTATAACCTCCATTAAAACAAACCAGTACCATGGGCAGCTTACCACACAGACACCATAATGAATGTGAGCAACAGTAGCGATGCTGCTCATGACGAGGAGGGTCGCCATCTCTAGGCTTGGCAATGCCACCACTATCGCCACACACAAGGCCAGAGGCAGCATCAACCAGTTGAAGAGCTCACATCGCGTGCTGCTCATCTGAGACACAATCAATCGACACTGCAAGGAAAATGGGCAACAAGTTACCAGACTTAAGCTCTGTAAACAACGCAGTCACTTTGTGACAGTGATGCCTGTGAGCCTCTGGCAAGACAGTAATGGCATGAGTGATGGTGGAAGTATTTCTTTTTTGGGTCACTCTGCCTCTGTGGGACACAGCTAGTGTTTAAAAAATAAAAATTCTCTAATAGAACTCCTATAAATTATTATAATCATAATTAAATGCTAAACTCATGAGGATCATATTACTATAAAGCAATTTTTCAAGAATGCCTTTGAAAAAAGTCCATCCAAAATTGAATAGCAGATGGCAAGACCTTCATAGTATGTATTTTTCAATCCTTGATACATTTTTCAATCCCATGAAATAAGTGGGTAGTACCAGACACCCCATGAATATATTCAATCTGTGGGTTAACCTTAAGTATAAAATTGAATAACTGAAACCCATGTACAGCAGAACCTTGGTATGCAACCTCAATTCATTCCAGAAGGCTGTTTGAGTTCCGATCAGTTTGAGCATCGAACGAGTTCTTCCCAACTAATTTTCTGTTTGGTTGGCTGTTATCACTAATCGTTGTAGGCCCCATGGTGACTTATTTACACAATACAAAAAAACACCAAAAAATGCGAAGAAACATGAAATAGTTTACAGTGAAGTTCTGGGAGGATGTATTTGTTTGGTCGAGTGCTGAGCTTTGTTTGAGTGGGGAGCTGGTCGTATACCAAGGTTTCACTGGAGTTTACCTGGAGAAAGTTCTGGGGGTCAATGCCCCCGAGACCCGGTCTGTGACCAGGTCTCACGGTGGATCAGAGCCTGATCAACCAGGCTGTTACTGCTAGCTGCACGTAATCCAACATATGAGCCACAGCCCAGCTGGTCAGGTACCGAATTTAGGTGCTTGTCCAGTGCCAGCTTGAAGACAGCCAGGGGTCTATTGGTAATCTCCCTTATGTATGCTGGGAGGCAGTTGAACAGTCTTGGGCCCCTGACATTTACTGTGTTGTCTCTTAACGTGCTAGTGACGCTAGTGCTTTTCATTGGGGGGATGTTGCATCGTCTGCTATACGGAAACCTAAAAATTTTATAGTGTAATTGTACTGTACATAAATTGTATTTATACGTCAACCTTTTTCTTTACAAAGAATTAATGTGCTGTTGGAGTGTGAGCAAGGTAATATTTATGAAGGGAAACCAGTTAGCCGGACTTGAGTCCTGGAGATTGGAAGTACAGTGTCTCCACTCTGAAAGATTATTATTATTATTATAGTCATGAGGAAGCACTAAACCCATAGGATTATACAGTATTTGTGGGGGGGGGGAGATGGAAGGTATTCAGGCTTAATTCAGGGAACTGGACCACGGATCCAATTCTCTAGATCAAGAGCCCCTCACCAGCGTCAAGGAACCTTCCTTGAGGGGCCCTCCGAAAGAGGGGTGTTGATATGTTGCCGGACCTCTTGCAAGACAGTGACTGAACGAGTGATGATGACAGCATTTCTTCTTCTGGGTAACAAATACCTTGGTGGGAATGGCCAAGAGCTGTTATTCTACTCCAGCACATTTCAAAGCCTAGGGCTATCTAAGCTTTGCTATCACCCCCAGGATGCCACCCACACCAGTCAACTAGCATTTGTTATGGTCAAAGAATTAGACACTTTTGCAGCAGTCCATTTCAAGACTGATGGACTGATCAACTCCAGGCTGAAGGACTGACCACCTCAAACTCATCATCCACCGTTCACTAATGTACCGGACTGAGGAAGTCAATGGCCGGCAAAATGCTCCAGTGTTACAAAAAGTGTTACAAAAAGTGTCTAATTCTTCAGTCTATTGGTGTTGTAAAGCATCTGCACCACACTGGTTGTGGTCTCAGTAACTGTGGTCTCAGACCAGATCTCTTGTGGTCTCAGTAACTGTGGCTCCTGCAGCCTGGTCTCAGACCAGATCTCTTGTTGTCTCAGTAACTGTGACTCCTGCAGCCTGGTCTCAGACCAGATCTCTTATGGTCTCAGTAACTGTGGCTCCTGCAGCCTGGTCTCAGACCAGATCTCTTATACTGGAAAGAAAATATTACAGCATCAAAATCCATTAAGAAACTGATGACCCGGACTTATGATAGCTCTCTGATCAGTACACACACCTAAATAATGTATATTAGAGCTGATTTCCTCTATTCTGTTTATTACAATATACAGTACACTACTGTATAAACATTTAAAAATATACCAGAATGTTATAAATGGTGCAAAGGTGACATTAAAACAATATCAAAGATGGTTGACACAAACCCACTACCATTATAGTATCCTCCTTGGTCAGCGACCAATTCGTTAACAACGTGGTGTTAGGAACAGAACTCCGTCAGCGAGGAGAGGCTGTATTAGTTTGTACGTTACCTGTCACCTTACATGCTCACCAGACAGAAATGCTCCACACAAGCAGTCTGTGTGTGTGGAGCATTTACCAGGCTTGTGTTTCACATATGTATGATAGGAGGGTAGTACCTCCCTGGGTGGTTGTACCTTCCTGGGTGGTTGTGCCTTCCTGGATGGTAGTACCTCCCTGGGTGGTAGTACCTTCCTGGGTGGTTGTATCTCCCTAGAGGCCTAGATGATAGTACCTCCCTGGGTGGTTGTACCTCCCTGGGTGGCTGTACCTCCCTGGGTGGCTGTACCTCCCTGGGTGGCTGTACCTCCCTGGGTGGTTGTACCTCCCTGGGTGGTAGTACCTCCCTGGGTGGTTGTACCTCCCTGGGCAGTTGTACCCCCCTGCATGATAGTACCTCCCTGGGTGGTTGCACCTCCCTGGGTAGTTGCACCTCCCTGGATGGTAGTACTTCCCTGGATGGTTGTACCTCCCTGGGTGATTGTACCTCCCTGGATGGTAGTACCTCCCTGGATGAGAGCACCTCCCTAGATGGTAGCACCTCCCTGGATGGTAGCACCTATAAATAACAAAAAGGCACAATACCGTGACTGGAACAATACACAAATAACCCGCACATAAAAGAGAGAAGCTTACGACGACGTTTTGGTCCGACTTGGACCATTGACAAAGTCACACTGACTTTGTCAATGGTCCAAGTCGGACTGAAACGTCGTCGTAAGCTTCTCTCTTTTATGTGCGGGTTATTTGTGCATGGTAGCACCTCCCTGGATAGTAGTACCTCCCTGGATGGTAGTACCTCCCTGGACAGTAGCACCTCCCTGGATAGTAGTAGTCTACCAACCTACTACTTATAATACACCCAAATCAACGTATCCTCACATCAATGAAAAATACAACTAGTTTCTTACATTGACATTGGCAAATATGGTGCCGACCATGAAGAGGAACATCCTGGGGTCCTTATTAACAATATCCATTGACGACTGGTACACCCAGGCGGTGGAGAGGACGAAGAACACAACGGGTGTGAACAATGGTCGCAGAGATTCCCAGAGGCCCAGCATCTTCCCGGTCTCATCTCTGTACGACCTGATGAGAGAATAAGGAATAGAAACACCTAAGCCATGGTAAATGTCTTATTTTTATATGTACAGAAGAACCCCCATATCTGCAGATTTGGTTATCCATGCTTTTTTCTGTGTATGGTAGAACCCCCGTATCTGTGGATTCGGTTTCCACAGTTTCAGTCATCCAGGGTTCACCGTGGTCCGAAAGTATGATAGAACCCCCGTATCTGTGGATTCAGTTTCCACAGTTTGTCATCCAAGGTTCACCGTGGCCCGAAAGTACCCTTAATTTTGCTTAATAATGGCCCCAAAGCACAAAAGTAGCAGTTGTTCAAAGCCTGAGAGAGGCTGTGAAGTGCTTCCCATCAGTGAAAAATGTTACTTCTCACGTCACTGTGTGTAATTTATCAATTAAACTTCATTATAGCCATGTATGTAAATGACAAACAACTTATACATACGATTCGCTACTATCCATGGTTTTAGTCATCCATAATAGGTCTTGGAACATTTTTTTTTTTTTTAACAAGTCGGCCGTCTCCCACCGAGGCAGGGTGACCCAGAAAGAAAGAAAATCCCCTGTTTTTGCAGAGGTGCTCAGAATACAACACTTTAGAAGTATATATGTGTAAAGATACACAATATATCCCAGGGGGGTACTACTGTCCTGCCAAGTGAGTGTAAAATGAAATCCTGTAATTGTTTTACATGATGGTAGGATTGCTGGTGTCTTTTGTCAGTCTCATAAATATGCAAGATTACAGGTATGTCTTGCTACTTCTACTTACACTTAGGTCACACTTACACGTTTATTTATACACACTCATCTGAGTTTTCTTTGATTTTATCTTAGTTCTTGTTCTTATTACTTTTCCTTTTATATCCATGGGGAAGTGGAATAAGAATCTTTCCTCCGTAAGCCATGCTTGTTGTAAAAGTCAACTAAAATGCTGGGAACAATGGGCTAGTAACCCCTTTTCCTATAATAATTACTAAAAAGAATAAGAATAAGAAAACTGTCAAAGTGGGAAGTCTGAATGTACGTGGATGTTGTGCGAATGATAAGAAAGAGATGATTGTGGATGTTATGAATGAGAAGAAGCTGGATGTCCTGGCTTTAAGTGAAACAAAGCTGAAGGGGGTGGGCGAGTTTCAGTGGAGAGGAATAAATGGGATTAGGTCAGGGGTTTCTAATCGAGTTAGAGCTAAAGAAGGAGTCTTGGAACATATCTTGAGGGCTTGGTCCCAAATCTGTCATAACAACATACTGGAGTGAAAGATATGGGAAGAAGTGCAAAAAATAACAAAGTGAAAAGCAGGGGTGCATTGGGCACAATAAGGGAACACTGTATCAATATTTGTGGCCCCAGATTATTTCACATCTTACCAGAAGATATCAGAAACACTGCTGGAACAAATGTAGAATTTTCCAGAGGAAACTGGACACATATCTTCTCCAAGTACCAGATCAATGAGGCTGTGAGGGATATGTGGGTCAGTGGGCCACTAGCGTCAACAACCTGGTTGACCAAGCTAGCACCAGACAAGCCTGATCCATGACCGGGCTCCAGGAGTAGAAAGACTCTCGAAACTCATCAAATGTGTATCAAACGCTGTCTCCCAACCAAGAGAGACCCAAAGAAGAAATCACATCCACCGTCATTCAGTCACTGTAACATACCTGTATATATTCCAAAACGACATAGGGAGAGAAGTGCCCAGCGATCCAGCGTACATCATGAACTCAAACATGGCGCCAGACGAAATTCCTCCATATATCTCAAACTTCCAGATGTGTTGACCCCAAATTCCCGTCGATAAATAAATAAAAAATATGAGCTGGAAAAATAAGAGAAATGTCACCAAAGGAAAATATCAATTCATGAAGGAAAAAAACAAATTTAAATTTCCACGTTAAAAATTCTATAAAACAGAAATTTTAATTAATATCATTGAAGAGAATTTAATAATGGAGTCAAAAATGTTTAAATTCATTATACACTTCATTTATTACATCAATAAAGACAACTACCAATATTTACGTTAATACAGATATCCCCATTATCCAAGTGACATTGATGTCATTTATAAAAGTCGAACTTAACTCACCACTTGGGATATATCATACCCCCAAGGTAAGAACAAAATCTTGGTGAGGTATTTCTCCCAATGGGATGTACAGAAACAGGTAATAACGTTCCAGAGTACAAAATAGAACCGGATTGGAGAAATACTGTAGTCCACCCTGCCAAACACTGACCACACGCAGGCCGGGATGAAGAACGTCGTCCAGGAGTCTAGTCCATGGTCGAAGAGCTCACCCAATGGGCCACTGGTCCCAGTTCTCCGAGCTTGCTTGCCGTCTATTCCATCTGAAATGCAACCAACACCGAATTTTTAATGTTAATCATTTTTTGATGTGAAGGCTACTGCCTTAAGTTTTTCCACACTACTTTGAGACACATTAAAAAAACTGACCCAGGGCACTAGCGTGGAGAAATTCTTCTACAACCCCTCTTGGGCAATGACCCCTCTCAGGGGAGCAACAACCCCTCTCTCTACTTTCCCAGGGGGGTCTCAGTTCCAAGAGGGGTTATCGCCCTCCCCCCTCGGGAGAAAATTTCTCCACAACTAGCCATTATAACATCAAAGATTTAAAAAGAAAGCTAGAGATAAACTTGCTTAACCCTTTGACTGTCGCGGCCGTATATATACGTCTTACGAGGTACCGTGTTTGACGTATATATACACATAAATTCTAGCGGCTTCAAATCAAGCAGGAGAAAGCTGGTAGGCCCACATGTAAGAGAATGGGTCTGTGTGGTCAGTGTGCACCATATAAAAAAAATCCTGGAGCACGCATTGCATAATGAGAAAAAAAAACTCCGACTGTTTTTTTTTAATTAAAATGCCGACTTTGTGGTCTATTTTCGTATAGTATTTATGGGTGTATTCTCGTTTTCTTGGTCTCAATTGATAGAATGGAAAATATATTATAGAAATAGAGGTGATTTTGAATGATTTTACTGTAAAAGGATCCTGGAAATGGAGCTCAAAGTACGGGAAATGTTTGATTTTTGCCGATGTTCAAAAGTAAACAAATGATGCCATTGTCCAATAAATGTCCAACTAGCCATTCTAATATGCAGTCATGAATGGGTTGATGTTATTTATACAATTATTACAGCATTGCAGTAGTCTGCATAGCAGTAAATCTTCTATTTTTTGTTTGAATAAAAATTCAAAATAGAAAGCAAGAGTAATATCAGAGGGGCCTGGAGACATGACTGATGAACAAAGAAAATGTTATTTTAGAGCCAGGAATGTCTGCATTGTTCATTCTGGTCATTATTTTGAAATTGTCATATTTTTTAATTTTCGTGAAATTGGCCAAATTGCAAATTTCTGACCATGTTATTGGGTAGTTGAAATCGGTAAATGGGCAGTTTCTTGTATACTCAATCAATAGAAAAATGGAGTTCTAAAGAAATAGCTATGAGTTTGGTCGACTGGAATAATGGAATTAGCCGAAAATAGGGCTCAAAGTGGGCGAAATCGCTGATTTGTAAATATCGCAGAGGTTGCTAACTTCGCGAGAGCATAATTCCATCAGTTTTCCATCAAATTTCGTTTTTTTGGTGTCATTACAATCGGGAAAAGATTCTCTATCATTTCATATGAAAAAATATTTTTTTTTTAAATTTTGCAACACCAGGAGACACCTCAGGATTGAGGGTTGCGACAGTCAAGGGGTTAATGTGTGCCATGAATTAACCAAGATACAAATACGTATCAGTCTTTATGGGGAAGCGGAGAAGAATTCTTCCTCCGTAAGCCATGCATGTCATAAGAGGCAACTAAAACGCTAGGAGCAAGGGGCTAGTAACCCCTTCTCCTGTATACATTACTAAATGTAAGAAGAAAAAGTATATGTTTCTTCTTTTTCTTTTTTCTTTTGGGCACATACATATATACAGGTGGTCCTCGATTTACGTTGGTTCGACTTAGGATATTTCAACTTTATGATGGTGCAGCAGCAATTACTCTGGAGATCAAACTTAAAATAATTATCCAACAAGAAGGTGCCAAGTCCCTAACTTATACCATTTATTTACTTTTAACCTTAAACGATCCAAACGTATATATACGTTTTTTCAACATTTGAAAGTATGTAAAAAAATGTACATTTTTTTTTTACAGTTGAAAATGTGTAAAAAAATTTATCTACATTTTTTTTTTGTTATATTTGAAAATATGCAAAAAAAACATAGATCTACTTTTGGAGCATTACGGATTTGAACATCGATCTATTTGGACCGTTTAAGGGTTAAATACAGTGGAACCTCTACTTGCGAATGCATCCACATGCAAGTTTTTCCAAATACGAGCAACTGATGGGTCGACCTTTTGTTTCCATGTGCGAGCAAAATTTCCACAAGCGAGCAGACCTCAAGGCAGGTTCCTTGACACTGGTGAGGGACTCTTGCTCTTGATCTCAGGAACTGTATCTCATTTGTTTGTTGGACTATCTTATTGAAACTTGGGCAATGTATGATGGAAAGATGCTTCTTAACGTACACCAAAAATGAAAGAAATCTAAGCATAAATAATGGAGTTCACTTCTCTGCAATTAGCCACCCCTTGGCGGTATTTTCGTATGGTTTTTATGGTTGTATTCTCTTTTTTTGGTCTCATTTGAATGAATGGAAGATATATTACAGAAATAGATATGATTTTGATTGCTTTCATGACAAAAAGCCCCTTGAAATTGAGCTCAGCACAGGAGAAATGTTCGACTGTTTTGGTTATGTTCAAGATGCATAATGCATAATGCATAATGCAGTCATGAATGGGTTGACATTATTTATACAATTATTGCAATAAGGAATAACAGTAAATCTTATATTTTTTGTGTGAATAAAAATTACAAATTATTTATATTGTAATAATAATAATAATAATAATAATAATAATAATAATAATAATAATAATAATAATATGTATAATAATAATAGTACGTATAATAATTTATTTTAATAAAGGAGGGGTTTCGGGGTATTAGCAGTTTGGAGGGATATGTTGTGTATCTTTATATGTATATGCTGCTAAACTGTTGTATTCTGAGCACCTCTGCAAAAACAGTGATAATGTGTGAGTGTGGTGAAAGTGTTGAATGATGATGAAAGTATTTTCTTTTTGGGGATTTTCTTTCTTTTTGGGCCACCCTGCCTCGGTGGGAGACGGCTGACTTGTTAAAAAAAAAAAAGAAAAAGTATAATACAATAAGAATAATAATGTACTGCATAATGATAATTATAATAACAGACGGCTTCAAAAGGCTATCACTAGATGGCAGTGTTTACCACAACAAAGAGGGAGCGGTTGTGGCCGCCTCCACCTGTTATATAATGACATATTTTATTCATTCTAGAGTATATATCAGGTTTCTATGTTATTTACATTGTTTGTTATGTCACATTAGATGAACTGTGATAGATAAATAAGCCGTATAGATGATGTTAGCGAAATTATTCAAGAAGTATTTTGCCTGGTCTCCAGACAAACTCTCGTCCACCACCGACACCGCCCATACCACTACATGAATGACATATTTTATTCATTTTAGAGTATATATCAGGTTTCTATATTATTTATATTGTTTATTATGCCATATTAGATGAAGTGAGATAGATAAATAAGCTGTAGAGTTGATATTAGCAAAATTATTGAAGTACAGAATTCCACTGGAACGGATTAATTGCATTTCAGTTAATTTAAATGAGGAAAAATGACTCTGCAAATGAGCAAATCCAGCTGCGAGCAAGGTCATGGAACGGATTAAACTCACAATTAGAGGTTCCATTGTACTGGTATTTATTAGTTACAGTAATTAGTATTTGTTTATTGACTTATTCAGTGATGGTAATTATTTATCGACTTATTTATTCAGAATGTCGGGTTCATATTCGACTTACAATATTTTCAACTTATGATGCATTAGTTGGAATGAAACCCCATAAACTGAGAAGCACCTATATATTGATAAATTTCAGGTTACCCCACCTTGGCAGGTAGGAAACAGCCATCGATTTCAAATACAAACATCGCAAGACTTACCTAATGTGTGTGCCATGAAATGACTGACTGCACACGCTATCCACACCCAGTTTGGAATGGGCGGGTACTGATCTCCCGGCGGCAGGTCACTGGAGGCATAGTAACTATAATCATAGACAGCTAGCAGGACAAAATTCCCAACGGTGAAGAGGAATCCCACGAATGTGAGAACATTGGGTGCAATCCAACGTGGACATATCTAGAAGAGAGAGAAAATTATTGGAAATAATACAGTAGTACTCTTGTTACTGCGAATTCAGTTATTGGTGCATATTTACATACAGTAGAACCCCCGTATCCGTGGACTTGGTTTCCATGGTTTACCGTGGGCCAAAAATAACCTTTAATTTTGCTTAATAATGGCACCAAAGTGCAATAGTAGTGATGGTGGCAGTTCTCTGAAGCCTAAAAGAAGCTGTGAAGTGCTTCCCATCAGTGAAAAATGACAATTCTCCACTTACTGCGCATGATTTATCAATTAAAACTTTATCATAGGTATGTATGTAAATGAAAAACTTATATATAGGGTTCAATACTATCTGCAGTTTCAGGCATCCATGGTAAGTCTCGGAATGTATCCCCTGCGGATACCAGGGCATTACTGTACGTGAAAATCAGTTACAAGTACGTACTGTAATAAAAATTTAATCTGACAATATTGAAACGAGCTCTCTTGTGAAGATTGAGCAGTATGGGACCAGACATCACAGCATAAATACAAATATGGCCTCTCCTCACTTAATGACGGAGCTCTGTTCCTAAAACCATGTTGGTAAACAAATTCGTCGCTAAGTGAGGAACATACTATAATGGTAGTGGGTTTGTGTCAACCATCTTTGATATTGTTTTAATGTCACCTTTGCACCATTTATAACAGTTTTTGCATATTTTTCAATGTTTATACAGTAGTGTACTGTATATTGTAATTAACAGAATAGAGGATATCAGCTCTAATATATCACATTACAAAAGTTTGCATACTGATTGGAAAACTGGTCATAAGCCCGAGTGGTTGGTAAATGAGTACATCGCTAAATGAGAAGAGGCTGCATGTTTTTATCATTATCAAATCATCAACAGCACAACATCAACAAAATCTTTACAAAGCGGGTAACTTGGGACGTTTTTTTCCCCCAGACAAACTGATGTTTTTGCCCATTTTATCTGTATGTTTATCCTGTGTAGGGTAAGAACATTTTCTGTAATTGCTGCACGGTCAACTGATATTTACTCCCGAGTTTGCCCAAAATACCTTGTATAAATATAGGCTTTTCCATCCAAGAAAACCTGGTATCAAATATAGTATTGCAATGAGAAAAAATATTACATATTATTATTAATACAGACCGGGCCGCGGGGGCGTTGACCCCCGGAACTCTCTCCAGGTAAACTCCAGGTAAACTCCAGGTAAACATTATAAAAAGTGTAATAATAATAATAATTACATTATTATTAATATACAAATGTTTTGTATAGTGAAGACAAGAAGAGAAGCATGTAATTAACAATTGAGTGTGGTAACCCATACATGTATCAGGTGATCACACAGCCCATCACTATAATCTTAACCTTACAAGATAACTCACCAACAAGATAAGATAGCACATTGGATCGTGAATTGTAGCTTATTGGGTCAGTGACCCCCGACTTGCACACTACAACAAAAGTCACCGATTTATCTTCTCTATTTTCAATTTCATACACTGGTGTTATCCTCCACATTATTGTGCTCTACCACAATATCATGCAGTACCACAATATCATGCAGTACCACAATATCATGCAGTACCACAGTATCATGCAGTACATCATGCAGTACCACATTATCATGCAGTACCACATTATCATGCAGTACCACAATATCATGCAGTACCACATTATCATGCAGTACCACAATATCATGCAGTACCACATTATCATGCAGTACCACAGTATCATGCAGTACCACATTATCATGCAGTACCACAATATCATGCAGTACCACATTATCATGCAGTACCACAGTATCATGCAGTACCACATTATCATGCAGTACCACAATATCATGCAGTACCACATTATCATGCAGTACCACAGTATCATGCAGTACCACATTATCATGCAGTACCACAATATCATGCAGTACCACATTATCATGCAGTACCACATTATCATGCAGTACCACAGTATCATGCAGTACCACAGTATCATGCAGTACCACATTATCATGCAGTACCACATTATCATGCAGTACCACAGTATCATGCAGTACCACAGTATCATGCAGTACCACATTATCATGCAGTACCACATTATCATGCAGTACCACATTATCATGCAGTACCACATTATCATGCAGTACCACATTATCATGCAGTACCACATTATCATGCAGTACCACATTATCATGCAGTACCACATTATCATGCAGTACCACATTATCATGCAGTACCACATTATCATGCAGTACCACATCATGCAGTACCACATTATCATGCAGTACCACAGTATCATGCAGTACCACAGTATCATGCAGTACCACATTATCATGCAGTACCACAGTATCATGCAGTACCACAGTATCATGCAGTACATCATGCAGTACCACATTATCATGCAGTACCACAGTATCATGCAGTACCACAGTATCATGCAGTACCACATTATCATGCAGTACCACATCATGCAGTACCACAGTATCATGTAGTACCACAGTATCATGCAGTACCACAGTATCATGCAGTACCACAGTATCATGCAGTACCACATTATCATGCAGTACCACATTATCATGCAGTACCACATTATCATGCAGTACCACATCATGCAGTACCACATTATCATGCAGTACCACATTATCATGCAGTACCACAGTATCATGCAGTACCACATTATCATGCAGTACCACAGTATCATGCAGTACCACATTATCATGCAGTACCACAGTATCATGCAGTACCACAGTATCATGCAGTAACACATTATCATGCAGTAACACATTATCATGCAGTACCACAGTATCATGCAGTACCACAGTATCATGCAGTACCACATTATCATGCAGTACCACATTATCATGCAGTACCACAGTATCATGCAGTACCACATTATCATGCAGTACCACATTATCATGCAGTACCACATTATCATGCAGTACCACATTATCATGCAGTACCACATTATCATGCAGTACCACATTATCATGCAGTACCACATTATCATGCAGTACCACATTATCATGCAGTACCACATTATCATGCAGTACCACATTATCATGCAGTACCACATCATGCAGTACCACATTATCATGCAGTACCACAGTATCATGCAGTACCACATTATCATGCAGTACCACATTATCATGCAGTACCACATTATCATGCAGTACCACAGTATCCTGCAGTACCACATTATCATGCAATACCACAGTATCATACAGTACCACATTATCATACAGTACCACATTATAAGGGCCTCAGCCGGTCCCCAAAGGAGAGACCTGGCCTGAAGACGTACCTCCGAACAACACAAAAAATCATTAAATTCTTCACTGCCAAGTTTGGTTGAGCTCAGACTTTTTTTGTATATTTTTTGTTACATATTGCCAAATTTGGTTGACCTCAGATTTCTTTTGTTTATTATTTGTTACATATATTGTAAAAAAAAAAAAAAAAAGGAACTTGAAGAGCAGCCGCCTCCACGTGGCAAGTTCTGGGTACCTTGTATAACTGAGAGTACTTGGACACTCATGTGTGACTGTTGCTACATGACCAGTCATGTGTGAGTGTGCAGTACACGATCAGTTACACAAAGTAGCTGAGAGCTGCTCACACCATGTAATGTCTGGATCTAGAGAATATGTTAAGATGGACAACAAATGTAATCCTGGACAATGTAGTGTCTATATACCAAGGTACCATCACCCGAGAACCAGATATTGAGTTCACTGGCAAGAGTTTCTCTGACAGGCTTTATGACCAGGCAGAACAGACAAGGGGATGAGAGGGTGTCCCTTTTGCACCAATTCATGAGTCAATTGCATGTTTCCCAAACAGGAGTTTAGAAGTACCACTATAAGAGGGAGGGGGTAAAGGAGGTTTTGTGGGCAAGGACTTGGACTTCCATCGTATGTGCATGAGTGTTAGGAGTGAATGGACCTGACAAGCTGTTGGAGTGTGAGCAGGGTAATATTTTGTGAAGGGATTCAGGGAAACTGGTTAGTCAGACTTGAGTCCTGGAAGTGGGAAGTACAATGCCTGCACTTTAAAGGAGGAGTTTGGGATATTGGCAGTTTGGAGGGACATCTAAACTGTTGTATCTGAGCACCTCTGCAAAGACAGTGATTACGTTTGAGTGATGGTGAAAGTGTTGAATCATGATGAAAGTTTTTTCTTTCTTTTTGGGTCACCCTGCCTCGGTCGGAAACAGCCGATGTGTTTATATATGTTGTGCCGAATAGGCAGAACTTGCGATATTGGCTTAAATAGCAACGCTCATCTTGCCATATAGGACAAGTAAAAATTTGTGTTTACCTGGAGTTTACCTGGAGAGCGTTTCGGGGGTCAATGCCCCCGCGGCCCGGTCTGTGACCAGGCCTCCTGGTGGATCAGCGCCTGATCAACCAGGCTGTTGCTGCTGGCTGCACGCAAACCAACGTACGAGCCACAGCCTGGCTGATCAGGAACTGTAATAATTTTGCCAAAATCATTCTGAACCTAACGAAAAAAATATATTTCACTGTGTTTGTTTAGTATTAAATTATTGTAAACAAATCTAAAATATATTTAGTTGGGTTAGGCTAAAATAAATTGCTCTTATTATAATAAGCTTAGGTAAGTTTTCTAAGTTCCTTTTGGTGCAAAATTAAAAAATTTTACATCAGCATTAATGAAAAAAATATATCTTTAAACATATAAGAGAAAATTTTAGAAAGGACTTAATTTTAAATGAGTTCTTGCTAATTGACCAGTTTTACATATTTGGCACAACATTATATATATATATATATATATATATATATATATATATATATATATATATATATATATATATATATATATATATATATATATATATATATATATATATATATATACATACATATATACATATATACATATATACATATATAAATATATACATACATACATACATACATACATACATACATACATACATACATACAGCCTCTCCTCACTTAGTGACATATTCGTTTACTAATGCCTCGGACTTGCGACGGGCTCTCTGACCAGTATTCGTACCTAAATAATGTATATTAGAGCTGATTTCCTCTATTCTATTTATTTCATTATACAGTATACTACTGTATAAACATTTAAATTAGTATTAGTCTGCCTGAAATGCCTAGGCCTGCAAGTGGCCTCCTTTGTAATTAATATTTTCTAATATGTAAACCACACATTGTAAGCGTTACAAGGAAATAATTTTTTTTTTAAATATACCAGAAATGTTAGAAATGGAACAAAGGTGACATTAAAACAATATCAAAGATGGCTGACACAAACTCACTACCATTACAGTATGCTCCTCACTTACCCATGAATTTGTTTAACGCCGTGGTCTCAGGAACAGAACTCCGTTGTTAAGTGAGGAGAGGCTGTATATACATGTATATATGTACAGACATCAATACGTCTCTATTAAGGACACAACCTCATCAACGAGACCACTGGATACTGCAGTACCACAGGGAAGTGTCCTTGGTCCCCTGCTCTTCCTTGTATACATCAACGATCTTCTTAATACAGTGGACCCCCGGTTAACGAACTTTTTTCATTCCAGTAGTATGTTCAGGTGCCAGTACTGACCGAATTTTTTCCCATAAGGAATATTGTGAAGTAGATTAGTCCATTTCAGACCCCCAAACATACACGTACAAACGCACTTACATAAATACACTTACATAATTGGTCGCATTTGGAGGTGATCGTTAAGCGGGGGTCCACTGTATATCATAACACTTTAAACCTATTCTCTTTGCTGACAACACGACTTACGTCATCTCCCACCCTAATCTTGTCTCACTCAACGCTATTCTTAACGAAAAGCTAGTAAAAATATCAACCTGGGTGACTGCAAATAATCTTACACTTAATATTGACAAAACCTTCTATATTATGTTTGGTAACAGAACAGGTGTTGCCCAGCTAAGCATTATAATTGGCAACACTCTTATTGCTAAACATAACGAGGGCAAATTCCTGGGCATAGACCTCAACAACAACCTGAACTTCAGCACCCATATCCACCACATAACAAAAAAGTATCCAAAATGGTTGGGATCTTCTCTAAGATACGTTACTACGTACCACAATGAACCAGCCCAGGCCAGCATTGGACTTATGGTGACTATGAAAGAACCGTATCGACAAGTTTTTGGAGTTTAGCCCCTGGACCTGCTATGAAGCTGCTATGGGTCACCATGTCACAACGAAAAGTGATGTAGTGGGAGTCGCCCTGCTCATCAAACAGGTTACTGGACAACTATGACTGAAGAAATACTTCCTAAATGTGTAAGGTAATCAGGTCCAATCCGAGGGACGGACAACCCCAATCCCTCAAATCAAAAGCCTTAAAACTTACCTTTACAACAGCATTCCAAAACGGATGCATTAAATAGTTGCTGAGCGGACTTGTGTCTTGGGCACTGTACTGTGGAGGGAAAAAAATAATAGTAATTTCACCATTTACCCGTAAGAATACATGGAGCACTTCACAAAACTTTAGTACAGGTTTGTCACGACTTAGAGACATTTCAACTTTACAATGGTGCAAAGGCAATTACATGCGAGTCTCGACTTATGATGCCTTGACAGGATTTTTCCACTATATGACACTTCACCTCACCACCACCGTCCGAGGCCTCACCACCACCGTCCTAGGCCTCACCACCACCGTCCTAGGCCTCACCACCACCGTCCTAGGCCTCACCACCACCATCCAAGGCCTCACCACCACCGTCCTAGGCCTCACCACCACCATCCAAGGCCTCACCACCACCGTCCTAGGCCTCACCACCACCATCCAAGGCCTCACCACCACCGTCCTAGGCCTCACCACCACCATCCAAGGCCTCACCACCACCGTCCTAGGCCTCACCACCACCATCCAAGGCCTCACCACCACCATCCAAGGCCTCACCACCACCGTCCTAGGCCTCACCACCACCGTCCTAGGCCTCACCACCACCATCCAAGGCCTCACCACCACCATCCAAGGCCTCACCACCACCGTCCTAGGCCTCACCACCACCATCCAAGGCCTCACCACCACCGTCCTAGGCCTCACCACCACCATCCAAGGCCTCACCACACCACGACCTAGGCCTCACCACCACCATCAAAGGCCTCACCACCACCGTCCTAGGCCTCACCACCACCATCCAAGGCCTCACCACCACCATCCTAGGCCTCACCACCACCATCCTAGGCCTCACCACCACCGTCCTAGGCCTCACCACCACCATCCAAGGCCTCACCACCACCATCCAAGGCCTCACCACCACCATCCTAGACCTCACCACCACCGTCCTAGGCCTCACCACCACCGTCCTAGGCCTCACCACCACCGTCCTAGGCCTCACCACCACACCATCCAAGGCCTCACCACCACCATCCAAGGCCTCACCACCACCGTCCTAGGCCTCACCACCACCGTCCTAGGCCTCACCACCACCATCCAAGGCCTCACAACCACCATCCAAGGCCTCACCACCACCGTCCTAGGCCTCACCACCACCAACCTAGGCCTCACCACCACCATCCAAGGCCTCACCACCACCGTCCTAGGCCTCACCACCACCATCCTAGGCCTCACCACCACCGTCCTAGGCCTCACCACCACCATCCAAGGCCTCACCACCACTGTCCTAGGCCTCACCACCACCATCCTAGGCTTCACCACCACCATCCTAGGCCTCACCACCACCGTCCTAGGCCTCACCACCACCATCCTAGGCCTCACCACCACCATCCTAGGCCTCACCACCACCATCATAGGCCTCACCACCACCATCCTAGGCCTCACCACCACCATCCTAGGCCTCACCACCACCATCCTAGGCCTCACCACCACTGTCATAGGCCTCACCACCACCATCCTAGGCCTCACCACCATCCTAGGCCTCACCACCACCATCCTAGGCCTCACCACCACCATCATAGGCCTCACCACCACCATCCTAGGCCTCACCACCATCCTAGGCCTCACCACCACCATCCTAGGCCTCACCACCACCGTCCTAGGCCTCACCACCACCGTCCTAGGCCTCACCACCATCCTAGGCCTCACCACCACCATCCTAGGCCTCACCACCACCGTCATAGGCCTCACCACCACCATCCTAGGCCTCACCACCACCGTCCTAGGCCTCACCACCATCCTAGGCCTCACCACCACCATCCTAGGCCTCAACACCACCATCCTAGGCCTCACCACCACCATCCTAGGCCTCACCACCATCCTAGGCCTCACCACCACCATCCTAGGCCTCACCACCACCATCCTAGGCCTCACCACCACCAACATAGGCCTCACCACCACCAACATAGGTCTCACCAACACCAACATGGACCTCACCACCACCAACATAGGCCTCACCACCACCAACATAGGCCTCACCACCACCAACATAGGCCTCACCACCACCAACATAGGCCTCACCACCACCAACATAGGCCTCACCACCACCAACATAGGCCTCACCACCACCAACATAGACCTCACCACCACCAACATAGGTCTCACCAACACCAACATAGGCCTCACAACCACCAACATAGGCCTCACCACCACCAACATAGGCCTCACCTCCACCAACATAGGTCTCACCAACACCAACATAGGTCTCACCAACACCAACATAGGCCTCACCACCACCATCCTAGGCCTCACCACCACCAACATAGGCATCACCAACACCAACATAGACCTCACCACCACCAACATAGGTCTCACCAACACCAACATAGGCCTCACCACCACCAACATAGGCCTCACCACCACCAACATAGGCCTCACCACCACCAACATAGGTCTCACCAACACCAACATAGGTCTCACCAACACCAACATAGGCCTCACCACCACCAACATAGGCCTCACCACCACCAACATAGGTCTCACCAACACCAACATAGGTCTCACCAACACCAACATAGACCTCACCACCACCAACATAGGCCTCACCACCAACAACATAGGTCTCACCGACACCATCATAGGTCTCACCAACACCAACATAGGCCTCACCAACACCAACATAGGTCTCACCAACACCAACATAGGTCTCACCAACACCAACATAGACCTCACCACCACCAACATAGACCTCACCACCACCAACATAGGCCTCACCACCACCAACATAGGCCTCACCAACACCAACATAGGTCTCACCACCACCAACATAGGCCTCACCACCAACATAGGCCTCACCACCACCAACATAGGCCTCACCACCACCAACATAGACCTCACCACCACCAACATAGACCTCACCACCACCAACATAGGCCTCACCACCACCAACATAGGTCTCACCAACACCAACATAGACCTCACCACCACCAACATAGGCCTCACCACCACCAACATAGACCTCACCACCACCAACATAGGCCTCACCACCACCAACATAGGCCTCACCACCACCAACATAGGCCTCATCACCACCAACATAGACCTCACCACCACCAACATAGGCCTCACCACCACCAACATAGTCCTCACCACCACCAACATAGGCCTCACCACCACCAACATAGGCCTCACCACCACCAACATAGACCTCACCAACACCAACATAGACCTCACCACCACCAACATAGGCCTCACCACCACCAACATAGACCTCACCACCACCAACATAGGCCTCACCACCACCAACATAGGTCTCACTACCACCAACATAGGCCTCACCACCACCAACATAGGCCTCACCAACACCAACATAGACCTCACCACCACCAACATAGGCCTCACCAACACCAACATAGGCCTCACCACCACCAACATAGGCCTCACCACCACCAACATAGGCCTCACCACCACCAACATAGGCCTCACCACCACCAACATAGGCCTCACCACCACCATCATAGACCTCACCACCACCAACATAGGCCTCACCACCACCAACATAGGCCTCACCACCACCAACATAGGCCTCACCACCACCAACATAGGCCTCACCACCACCAACATAGGCCTCACCACCACCAACATAGACCTCACCAACACCAACATAGACCTCACCACCACCAACATAGGCCTCACCACCAACATAGGCCTCACCACCACCAACATAGACCTCACCACCACCAACATAGGCCTCACCACCACCATCATAGGCCTCACCACCACCAACATAGGCCTCACCACCACCAACATAGACCTCACCACCACCAACATAGGCCTCACCACCACCAACATAGGCCTCACCAACACCAACATAGACCTCACCACCACCAACATAGGCCTCACCACCACCAACATAGGCCTCACCACCACCAACATAGACCTCACCACCACCAACATAGACCTCACCACCAACAACATAGGCCTCACCACCACCAACATAGGCCTCACCACCACCAACATAGGCCTCACCACCACCAACATAGACCTCACCACCAACAACACATAGGCCTCACCACCACCAACATAGGCCTCACCACCACCAACATAGGCCTCACCACCACCAACATAGGCCTCACCACACCAAACATAGGCCTCACCACCACCAACATAGACCTCACCACCACCAACATAGACCTCACCACCACCAACATAGACCTCACCACCACCAACATAGGCCTCACCACCACCAACATAGGTCTCACCACCACCAACATAGGCCTCACCACCACCAACATAGACCCCACCAACACCAACATAGACCTCACCACCACCAACATAGACCTCACCACCACCAACATAGGCCTCACCACCACCAACATAGGCCTCACCACCACCAACATAGACCTCACCACCACCAACATAGGCCTCACCACCACCAACATAGACCCCACCACCACCAACATAGGCCTCACCACCACCAACATAGGCCTCACCACCACCAACATAGACCTCACCACCACCAACATAGGCCTCACCACCACCAACATAGGCCTCACCACCACCAACATAGACCTCACCACCACCAACATAGGCCTCACCACCACCAACATAGGCCTCACCACCACCAACATAGGCCTCACCACCACCAACATAGACCTCACCACCACCAACATAGGCCTCACCACCACCAACATAGGCCTCACCACCACCAACATAGACCTCACCACCACCAACATAGACCTCACCACCACCAACATAGACCTCACCACCACCAACATAGGCCTACCTTATAATTCTCGAAGCCTATCAGCTGTTCTGAGGTTAAATACTTGACCGGCGTCATGTTGTTGGAGGTCCATTCACTTCTCCAACACCATCAGCGGGGGTTATACTCCCTCCAACACTCCTCCAACACACCTCCAACACTCCACCCCAACACTCCAACAAACACACAACAATAAAAATATTAGACATGTAGTCCCTTCACCGGTCATTTTTATAACCATAAATTAACGCTACAAAAATTGTTAATTGAATTATTAGCTTGAATTTATTTTTTTGATTAATAAAAAACAATTTATTAGTGAGAAATATATTTATTTTGAGTTAAATATTAGACATATGGTCCCTCCACCAGCCTCAATATTTTATCTCTTATTTAATAATAAATAAATTATAAATTTATTAATTAACAAGAAATTGTTTTCCTAATAATAAAAAACTGTTTATTGGGTTAGAAATTTACATATATTATATTTTCAATAAAATATTAGACAATGACCTCATTTTATCTATATTTTAACGGTAATTAAATTTTTAATTACCTAGTTTACTATAATTTATTTTTTAGTAAGTAAAAAACTGTTTATTGGGTGAAAATTATAAATATTTAATTTTTATTTTGTATAAATATTAAACATATGGTCCCTTCTGCATCCTTATTTTAACTCTAATAAATTTCTAAATAAATTGTTAATTGAGTAATTACCTAGAATTTAATTTTTTATTAATAAAGAACAGTTTTTTGGCTAAAAATATATTTAATTTTTTAAAGTGTTTTCCCCAATTTAATATTTCGATTATTAAATAATTTCAACGTCAATTAAAAATTATTAGTGAAAAAACTGTGACTGAAACAATATATAAATAAATCAAATTATTGTTAATAAAGTTAAAATTGTATTAATTTTTCTAATTTTTTATACATGTTATCCCTAATTTAATATTTTGATTATTAAATAATTTAAAAGTCCATTAATAAAATTATTAATGAAAAAAATACTGTGACTCGTTTTATATATAAATAATTCGTTTCTGAGAGACGTAAATTTATGACAATAGATCACATGGAGTCCAGGATGGTAGTAGTGGTAGTGGTAGTGGTAGTAGTAGTGGTAGTGGTAGTAGTGGTAGTAGTGGTAGTGGTAGTGGTAGTAGTAGTGGTAGTGGTAGTAGTAGTGGTAGTAGTAGTGGTAGTAGTAGTGGTAGTGGTAGTAGTAGTGGTAGTGGTAGTAGTAGTGGTAGTGGTAGTAGTAGTAGTAGTGGTAGTAGTAGTAGTAGTGGTAGTAGTAGTGGTAGTAGTGGTAGTGGTAGTAGTAGTAGTAGTAGTAGTAGTGGTAGTGGTAGTAGTAGTGGTAGTAGTAGTGGTAGTAGTGGTAGTAGTAGTAGTAGTAGTGGTAGTGGTAGTAGTAGTGGTAGTAGTAGTGGTAGTAGTGGTAGTAGTAGTGGTAGTAGTAGTAGTGGTAGTGGTAGTAGTAGTAGTAGTAGTAGTAGTGGTAGTGGTAGTAGTAGTGGTAGTAGTGGTAGTAGTAGTGGTAGTAGTAGTAGTAGTAGTGGTAGTGGTAGTAGTAGTAGTAGTAGTGGTAGTAGTAGTAGTAGTGGTAGTTGTAGTGGTAGTAGTAGTGGTAGTAGTAGTAGTAGTGGTAGTGGTAGTAGTAGTGGTAGTAGTAGTGGTAGTAGTGGTAGTAGTAGTGGTAGTAGTAGTAGTAGTAGTGGTAGTGGTAGTAGTAGTAGTAGTGGTGGTAGTAGTAGTATAGTAGTGGTAGTGGTAGTAGTAGTAGTAGTGGTAGTAGTAGTGGTAGTAGTAGTGGTAGTAGTGGTAGTGGTAGTGGTAGTAGTGGTAGTGGTAGTGGTAGTAGTAGTAGTAGTAGTAGTGGTAGTAGTAGTAGTAGTGGTAGTGGTAGTAGTAGTGGTAGTAGTAGTGGTAGTGGTAGTAGTAGTGGTAGTAGTAGTGGTAGTAGTGGTAGTGGTAGTAGTAGTGGTAGTGGTAGTAGTAGTGGTAGTAGTGGTAGTAGTGGTAGTGGTAGTAGTAGTAGTGGTAGTAGTGGTAGTGGTAGTAGTAGTGGTAGTAGTAGTAGTAGTAGTAGTGGTAGTAGTAGTGGTAGTAGTGGTAGTAGTAGTGGTAGTAGTGGTAGTAGTAGTAGTAGTAGTAGTAGTAGTGGTAGTGGTAGTAGTAGTAGTAGTAGTGGTATAGTAGTAGTGGTAGTGGTAGTGTAGTAGTAGTAGTAGTAGTGGTAGTGGTAGTAGGTAGTAGTGTAGTAGTAGTGGTAGTAGTTATGGTGTAGTAGTAGTATAGTAGTGTGTAGTGGTAGAGTAGTGTATAGTGGTAGTAGTAGTGGTATAGTAGTAGTGGTAGTGGTAGTAGTAGTGGTAGTAGTAGTGGTAGTAGTGTGTAGTGGTAGTAGTAGTAGTGGTAGTAGTAGTGGTAGTAGTGGTAGTGGTAGTAGTAGTGGTAGTAGTGTGGTATGTAGTAGTTAGTAGTAGTGGTATGTGGTAGTAGTTAGGGTGTGTAGTAGTGGTAGTGGTAGTTAGTAAGTGGTAGTAGTAGTAGTAGTAGTGGTAGTAGTAGTGGTAGTAGTGGTAGTGGTAGTAGTGGTAGTGGTAGTAGTAGTAGTGGTAGTGGTGGTAGTAGTAGTGGTAGTAGTAGTAGTGGTAGTGGTAGTGGTAGTGGTAGTGGTAGTAGGTTAGTAGTGGTAGTGGGTGGTAGTAGTAGTAGTAGTAGTAGTGGTGGTGGTTAGTGGTAGTAGTGGTATGTAGTGGTAGTAGTAGTAGTGGTAGTAGTAGTAGTGGTAGTAGTGGTAGTAGTGGTGGTAGTAGTAGTAGTAGTGGTAATAGTAGTAGTAGTGGTAGTCATACACAAATAACCCGCACATAAAAGAGAGAAGCTTACGACGACGTTTCGGTCCGACTTGGACCATTGACAAAGTCACACTAACAGAGGTATGTATGTATAATGTTGGCCAGGACCAGGGTCTCTGGCTCCTGAAGGAGAATTGATTCTTCACTGTTGCAGCATGTAAGCGTTTGGAATTTCACTATTCTTTCAAGCACAGTTCCGGACAGTTCAGCTAGTGTGCCTCATAAGCGACTGAAGTTACTCCATCTCAGCTGTTTCCTGAGCTGGGGACTGGGCTCTGTCCTCTCTGATTATTATTATTATAATCAAGGGGGAAGCGCTAAACCTGGAGGATTATACAGCGCCTGTGGGGGGGGATGTGGAAGGCATTCAGGCTTAATTCGGGGAACTGGAGCACAGATCCAATTCCCTAAATCAAGAGCCCCTCACCAACATCAAGGAACCTTCCTTGAGGGGTGTCCTCTCTGATAATATGCGGATTCATGGCATCCACTGCTTCCTGCTCTGTCAGTAAGCATACCCTCAGGAGTGTGCTGACCATCTGCCGGAACATGCTCTGTTGTTCCGTGGAGGTGATTGTGTTGCAGATAATATCCGTGAATGCCTTGATGAGTGTTAAGAGATCCTCTCTGTTGAGGGCCTGCGTTGTCGGTGGGTTCGAAGCAGTGGACATTATATGGGCTGTCGTAATCTGTGGGGATTGCTGAGGGTTGTATTTCTTCACTGTGCACACCGTGGGCTGTTGCTGTATGCCAGGTTGTGTACCCGGCATCTGCTGGTGAGGTGCAGCCACAGCCTGCATAGTGGTTGTGCCTGGCAAGGAGGCCGGTGGGGGCTCGTGTAGTGCCGTCTGCTGATTGCGTTGCCCAAATGTTTCCTGTTGGCGCCGCTTGTTCCTCATGTTTTTGTTTCTTCGTTGCGGTAGTGGGGGAGGATGCTCTTGTTCATGACGCCTGGTTGAGTTTTCAAGGGTCGGAAATTCCTGGGCACTGAGTTGGGTTGACTGATGAGAGTTCTGCAGTATGGCAGGATTCTCTGCACACATCGTCTGCTGAGGGTGATGCTCCGCCGTAGCCTGCTGTCTCGTCGTTGGTGTCTTCCAGGCCTCACGAATTCTAGTGAGCCTCTCAGGGCATCGAGGGTTCCAGGCATGGTGTTTCTGCCTGCAATTCGGGCATCGTGGAGTGGGTGGCGATGCATTCTTCAGCTTGGTGATGCATTCCTCGGTAGGGTGGGGCTGGCTGCAGACACCGCAGATTACTCTGTTCGGACAGAGTGCACCCAGGTGTCCGTAACGCTGGCACTGGCGAACTGGTTCTGCCATGAAGGTCCTAACATCGTACCTGCCCCAAGAACCAAGGTCCAGCTGGGATGGCAGCGGTCCTACATGCTGAATGAGGACCTGTCGGGTTGGTGCATTGCCTGCTGATTTTGCCTTGAGACGCTGAGCTGACACGACACTGGGGTGAGCTGCTACTGCCTCGATGGGCATCATCAGCGGGTATCGCATCACTACACCCTTGGTGACCTGCCGAGAATCCAGTTCCTCCAGGGTGAAGGAGCGGTCTGTCTCCATGACTTTTTTCAAGGTGATATGCATTTCCCTGTTGATAGGAGTCAGTATTGGTTCTCCCCTCAAGTTGAACCATATCTTGAACCTCAGTTTGTGCCGTGTTTCCAGGTGTGAAACCCACACCTTTAGTGGGGTTTTGTGTTCCCCACAAGCCTTTACCTTGAATCTGGAAGGTGATTTGAGCTGGTTTACCTGCTCCTTGGAGGGACGGCGTGTCTTACTGTTCACATTGATCCATCCTTTCGTATTCTCTGGCTGCATGGTTAGGCTTGTCAGAACTGGAGACTTTTCCTCTGATGACACGGAGTGGTTTCGCAACTTCTTCGCTAGGATTGCGCCCCACATTTCTAAATCCGAGTCATCCGTCGCATCCCTGGAACATCGTGACCTCTTCCTTTCGGCAGAAGCCATGTGTCTGTCAACGTGGGGCTGGACTGTGATGCTTTTTTGCACTAACAGAGGTGGAGCAGGACGGCTATATATAGGCAGGAAGAGGTGGAGGTAGTAGTAGTAGTAGTAGTAGTAGTAGTACAAGAATTGTATATAATATCGACAAGATGAAATTATGAAATTAAGACACATGCACAACACCCGGGCATCCCTATCGTAGACGTTTCGCCATCCAGCCAGCCACTGGATGGCGAAACGTCCACAACAAAGACAACCAGACGCCGCACATGTGTCTTAATTTCATCAGTAGTTGTAGTAGTAGTAGAAGAAGAAGAGGTAGTAGTAGTGGTAGTGGTAGAAGTGGGAAATAAG